TATATAGGAGGACTCAGAGCAAGAAATAAATAAACAATCCTTTCACCGTTAGTAAGAACCAAATCATTTTTCCTCATTTAACCATTTAACCTCTCAATCCAATGAAACAATATCAAATATAATAGGGCTTCCAGTATTATTTCGCACGAATTATGGCGAGGACATACGGCCCGATCCAAATATACATATACATATACTGTATGCACTGCCGAGGGTCGAACGACACAAACCATAGATGCATCTATGAAGCTGCTGAGGCGAACGGCCCACTCCCATGAGAGTAGTGAAAATTTACCCTGCTCGCGGAATATACTTGCGACGCGGTTGAACATAGATTTCTCAAGTTATCATAATATCCCTCAATTCTTTCCAAAACAAGAAAATATAACTAGAAACTTTAAAAAATCTTGAAATCCTCAACCTCGGCTCTATTCAAGGCAATTAGTAAGCAAAATCAAATAACGGTGTCAACAAAACATGGTGTAGACCTAAAACTACGTAAGCACAAATAGTAGCTACGTACGGACTCTCGTCACCACGTGCGTATGTAGCCCCCACAAATAGAAGCGCATATTAATTAAGTTCGCCTATGGGGTTAATTCCCTCTTAGAAGGTTAGAAAAGAAACTTACCTTGTCTCAAAGCCTACTCTGCGATACAAGATTGTGCTCAAACCCTCAATTTGGTGCCAAATGACTCGAAACTAGTCAAATGTCGTATAAGATAGTCAATTTATGCTCAAAAGTTCATATCCTAACTATCAAAGTGATTACCCAATCCCAATTGATGAATTCCCAAAATTTACCCCTGGACCCACATGCCCGGATTCCGGAAATTTTTGAAAAAAATTGTTACCCATAACCTCATGAAGTCAAATATATTATTCTCACCAAATTCCATAACCATTTTCGTGATCAAATTCCATTTTCATCCAAAACCAAGGTTTTTCCTCTAAACCCTTAATTTCACCATTTTTTACATGTTAATCTACCCACAATCTATGTATTTAACTCATGTTGTGTAAATTACTTACCGCAAAGTGCTAGGTGAGAACCCTCTTCCAAGAGCTTCAAAAATCGGCCAAGAGATGAAAGAAAATGAGCTAAATGGCCTAAGTCCCGCATTTAATAAAGATGTGCACAGGTCGCAGATATCGCATTTGTGACACCTGGTTTGCAAATGCGACAAATTCATCGCAAATGCGAACATGGTTTCCCACTACCAAGGTCGCAAATGCGACCAATAACTCATAAATGCGAACCCTGTCAAGGTCGCAAATCTGACTGAAATCTCGCAAATACGAGCCCTGCCCAGATTGGGATTCTTCACAATTGCGAAGCCAATCTCGCAAATGCGAGGTTTGCAAACATGTCCGAAACACCAGAAAACTAAAGTTTTTCTCATCCTTCCAAACATGTCTGAAACTCCACCCGAGCCCTCGGGGCTCCACACCAAACACCCACACAAGTCTAAAAACATCATACGAACTTGCTCACGCGATTGAAACACTGAAATAACATCTAAAATCACGAATTAGACGCCAAAACGCAGGATTAACTCATGAACTCAAAAATCTGTAAAATCTTCCGCGCATCCGATTCTTATCAAATCAACTCAGAATGACGCCAAATTTTGTGTGCAGGTCTTAAATGACATTACGGACCTACTCCAACTTTCGGAATTAGAATCCCAATCCGATATCAAAAAGTTCACCTTCGGTCAAACTTTCCGAAAACTTCTAATCTCCAGCTTTCATCAAATGACCCTAAAACGAACTACGGACCTCCGAATCCACATCCGGACGCGCTTCTAAGTCCAGAATCACTATACAAAGCTATTCCCAGGCTCGAAATTTCAAACAGATGTCTAAAATATAAAAATCTACTTCAACCCAAACTTATGAAATTCACCCGATATGCCAACTTTCACTATTAGGCGCCGAAATGCTCCCGGGTCACTCAAAACCCGATCCAAACATACGCCCAAGTCCAGAATTATCATGCGAACCTATTGAAACCGTCATATCCCGATTCTGGGATTGTTTACTTAAAATATTGACCGAAGTCAAACTTAGGCTTTTAAGGCCAAACCATGGAGTCAAGTGTTCCGATTTCAACCCGAACTCTTCCAACTCCCAAACTAACCATCCCCGCAAGTCATAACATAGTAAAAGAACCTACGGGAAGTCTTATTTCGGAAGATAGGGTTCTAGAAAGTAAAAAGACCGGTCGGGTCGTTACACTATAAGTGTTTGACAATTTTGACCACCAATACCGACTGATTTATATATGTAACTTATTAAAAAATATTTAATTAAAAAATTCTTTGCATGAAAATATTTAACGCTAATGCAACTATTGTAATTGAAAAAACATTGTTAGACTTCGGAAGAACAATAATATCAAATTAATTGGAATGAGGGAGTAATAAATAGGATAGCAAAATCATTACAGTGGATTTTGGTAATCAATGAGAATACTTAAAAATATGATACTAATGACTATAATGAGATAAATCTATAAAATGGGAGCTGCAGAATCTTTTTGTGCTTAATTCCTTGTGATTGTATTCTTAGAAATATTATACTCTAACTAAGTAATTAAACTGAGCATGCATGCAATCTGTACTTTATACGTAGTATAGACATAAATCATAAGAGAATGCTTCTCTTTAATTTTGGTGGTCTCTAAAGCTAGGTGAATTTAAATTTGTTAGGCTAATGTATGTAATGCGAAATAGATTATAAGGAACACAATACAATACAATTTAGAGGTATTGTGTAGTGTAATATCAGCCACTGAAAGACAAATTTATTTTATGACACAAGGCTGGCTTAATTAAAGAGATACTTGGCACTCTAAAGACAAGGCCAAAAAGAGTGAAATACAAATCGTGGTGGCAAAAATAAAGCAAAATAAGAATTGCATTGTGCAAGTAAATTATTAATCGAAAGGAAATACTATGTGGATAATTAATTAAGTTCTCTCCAATATTAAATGTCATCCTAGCTACTAGAGTGTCATGAGAGAGCAACATTCCAAAGAGCTGCATCACCTTCGCCGCATGAGTGGTGCACATCTTTCATCCTCTCTACCGACTTGCATATCCCACTGCATGACCAATCAAATGATGCCACACACATATTCCCTCCTTTTGCCTTCCACTCACAATCTGGAGGTGTTCCACAGCACATTGAACGCTCATCCACATGCTCCACTTCCAATCCAATTAACCATGATCCCAATGATACGTCTTCATTTGCATATCTATGTAATATCCCCCTATTTTAATCATACAATTTAACATATGTCATTGTTCAACTTGATATTGGTCTAAGAGGCGTTGCAATATATGTGTGTAAATTAAAGAACTTACGAGTTGATGGAGATGTAAGAAGCAAGGTCTCTAGAGATGCCATATATTTGACCCGTGGCATGTCTGAAATACTTGTTTCCTTCTTCTCCAAATTTCCAATACTCAGGCTCATGATACCTTAATCCTCTGCCAAATCAATATAATTATCAGTCAAGTACATTTCTTCTTTTACTTTTCGAGAGGGGAAATTATATACATTTATGTTTTGTGGAACAAATTAAGTGAAAGACGACTCACTTTTGGGAAAGAACTGGTCCTGACTTCATGCACCCAATGTAGACTCTTGGTTTGGATTTGTATTTTGCTAATGTGGTAGCAAGCATACCTGCAAATGTTGAGAGAATTATATAGGCATGTATAGTTATGCATGCATTTACGGAAATTAATAAAGTACTATATGAGCTTTTATATAGAGGCTTTAATTTATATATATTGACAGTACAAATTTTTTTTTTATCCTATCAATTTTAATTTAATCAATTATAGCAAATTATTACTTTATTTTCAGGTTACAATATCAAGTTTGCTACGAAAGATTACTTGTTTTTATAGGTCAACTTAAGTTAATGATGTAAACAAATCTATACATTATTTATGTACAGAACTTAAACTCTCGTGTAAATTACCTAAGTTGAGATGGACATCATCGTCCACTTTAACGTAGAAGTCAGCGTCCCAAATGGAGACAGCTTTAGAGAAATACAATCTTGTCTTGGTGGAGAGTTCATGATAACCCTCAACGTGTTCAAGTCGAAGGAAATCCTTGTACTGAGCATCCTCACTATCAATGGCACGATCAAGAACTCCTCCTCGTGTAGCACTGTGTCCTATCACAAACCGTATCACGATTCCCTTCTCTTTCTCTAGCTTCTTTAGCTTATCCCCTGCCAATTAAATGGAATACAATAATTCAGATTCATCCATATATTTCAATCTAATAGAAGAAGCTAAGAAATAGGGTATTAATTGAAGACCTTTTGGCATCCAAGTTTCTCTAAGAGAATCACGTCTTTTTCTGCTGCTGAATGCGGTATTAATTCCCACCACGATAAATGCTTTATTCGGTGTGGTGTGATTTGAACCTCTGTTTTCCTTTGCATTTTGGCTGACTGTTTGCCTTGTCCGAGCTATTGCTAATTCATTCTCCAATGTTGATATACTTTTATCAAGTGATCTGTTAATTTGAACCCAACATTCATAATTTTGTTAAATAAATAACAACAACAACACCAACAATAAACGCAGTGTAATCCCACAAGTGGGGTCTGGGGAGGGTAGGGCATGTGTACGTAGACCTTACCCCACCTTAAAGGTAGAGAGGCAATTTTTTTTCAAAAAAAGGAGAATTAAAAGATAAGCTATGTAGGCATTGACTTGTGGATTTGAGCCTGTGCTTACTGAATAGCTAGATGAGTCTTCTTAACTTCTCCCATGATGTCTCTTGAATTGCTTTCGGCTAATTTCTACATAAAGAAAATCATAAGTCAATATTTCTCATGTCAACATTAGTACCTTATTAATTTCTCAAAGTTTAAAATTAAGCGTACACGCTTGGGATCACATTCACGTGAAATGGTTCTAAGCTTCTCATGGTTGAAAATGCTGGGGATCACAAGATCATTATTCATTTCAGAATTAGGTTGAGTCCATATTCGGCTACTAAAGATTGATCCAGCCAGAAAGCTTGCAATGCATAACACCAATATGGATTTTCCAGAAACTGGGAATTTGCCTGATCTCATTTTTGAATTTCCCAGTTTGTTGAGCTCCCACGGCCACAATGTTGACACCGGAACCCAAACTCGGCCACTGCTATTTAGCTTCTTTTCCTCCACCAGCAGCGCCCTATTGTCTGCTGCTGCTTTTCCACTATTCTTCATGAAGAACAACATTTAATATCTGTTATATATAAAATGATAATGACTTCAAACCTTGGGCTGAATAATTTATAAGAGATATCCGTTATGGTCAATAAAAGATGAGAATCTTCATGGCCACACAAAGAACATATGATATTCTTCAAGAAAATTAAGGGAAGTGAAACATGTCATGGCAAATTGCATGGTATGTCAAGGACTAATAATAACAAGCACTAATGCAGAAAGGTTGGCTTGACACGAAAGAAACAAATTAAATTATCTTCCTTTAACAGACCGAAGAACAAAAATGGAAAGATTGGACAGAAACTCTGTATCAAGAAGAAATCATGTTAGGCAGATTTGAAAAATCTTCAGTGAACTGAAAAATTGAAACAGCTTAATCAATTATTTCTCTTTAGATCAGAAGATATTAACCTTACTTTCTGCATTGAATTGAAAATTCATTTCTCTCATGTGCAGTGTCATGATGTTTGGCATAAACAAGAATACCTCATTTAGAATACAAAACAAATGGAATCAATGCACATTAGCAAATGAAGCATGGAATTAAGTACATGCATGAACTAATATATATATATATATAATTAATATATTCATTTTCAGCTAAAAGACATCTTCTACAATTGTTTGTCAAATATTTTAAAGTAAAAGAAGAGATGGTAGGTAGTACCTGCTAGGACATGATAATTGAAGTACTGGAATGCAGATATGAAATTATGTGTCATTTTAAAGAGGCTTATTACAACATCTTCCCTTTCCTATTACATGAAAGAGTCCAGTTGCAAGCATAGGCAGTTTAATCATGTGACTTTCATGTTCCAACAAACTGTCTGCCCTATTTCAACAGAAAAGAAATTCCTGTCTTTTTTACTATTGTTTTGAAGCTACAAATAGGCATGCAGTACGTTTCTCTTGTATGATTAACACTTGTATACGGACATCCTATTCATTGGTGCAATAAAATTTGAGAAACATTGGCCTAAATTTCAGCTGTTCAGAAGCCACTGTTTGCTAATAATGTCGGTGAGACAATTAGAAATAGGATACTTTGTAACAGAATTGATAAAACGATAAATATACTTATCATAAGGGAGTAAAATTTACATATCATGATTCGGAGCGTAGCATTCTATCTCCTCGAATATATATAGTTGAAAAAACTTTTGAAGATATGAAATATGTAGTTTCATTTTTAATTGAAGGAGAGTGTTGAAGCAACGGTAAAGTTATCTCCATGTGACTTATAGGTTACGGGTTCGAGCCGTGGAAGCAGCCATTAATGCTTGTATTAGGATAATCTGTACATCACGCCCCTTTGGATGTGGCCCGTCCAGATGCTTTGTGCATCGGGGTGCCCTAGTTTCTTTTTTTATCATATTTTACATTTTAACTAGGCTTAATTCTTTTGAGAGACGTAAATGCCACAGGAGGGAGTCATTCTGTCTTCCAAGTTCCAACACAATTTGTGGGAGAATGGTGCAAAAAGGATTGTCTCATATTGCAATTGTCAAATATAAAACTGTGTCTGGGCAAGGTTAGCAGAGGAATTTTGGATTTATGTCTACCTACTCCATATATTCAATCTAGAATTTTGATATGTCCGTAAGGGTCAAGCTCCCTAACCCTCCATCAAAATGGTGGTTTTAGATAATAAAAAGTGATTTGAAAAAACATCACTTGATCAACTATAGGTCCGGAGCATAACCTCAACTTGAGTAAATGTTTTCAAGTTAAGTTGAATGTTTGCTCAAAACTAGTGAAACAACATAAAATTAACTTGAAGATTGTTTGCTTTTAATTTTATAGTAGTGGATCGTTCTTCAATTATTATATTAGTTCCTAAGGTTTAGTTTGTGATCAATTGTGGAAGTGTTGGTGCCTGGTTTTGTATTTTGCCCCAGAGTGATTCGAGAAAAACTCTATTATGTCTATTTTACAGTGGATAATTTATTAGGTGATCTTGGACATATTTCTATATGTTTTAATATTACTTTACCCATATTTTAATTGCTTTTTTATGCGATTTTGGTGTTGAAAATGTCCAACATATGTCAATTATTGGTTTTTCCAGTTGTGTGTGATAGATTTAGGATGTTTGGATTGCAAAAATATGAAGAAAAGATGCTCCAGCTATAGGAGACGAGGTTGCATGCGTCACATCCAACCTAGCAAGCAATGCCATTTGAAGCACCCTTAGCTGTGAAGTCTCAAGAAAGTATCCACCTCAGCATCCGCACCTGGGCGCAGAAAAGTTGAAGGATGCTGGGAAATCTAAGCTAAGGCGGACTGTCACAACCCCAAATCCCATAATAGGTGGTGATGGCGTCCAACAATGCTGTTAAGCAAGCCAACGGGCGTACCTCTAACGTAATTATCCTTTTGGCTTTTAAATCAGAAATTTTATTAAATAGTAAGAATTAGATCCAGAATCCATCGAAACATACGTATTTCTTTACCAAAATATCAAGTACGAATAATACATAAAACGAAGTGATAATAATAATAAGTACAACTATGAACATTCACTAGAAATCTCCAAACTCGGTGTCACAAATGCATGAGCATCTACCACAATATACAACACTACTACAATAGTTGTCTTGAACAGGAAATAGACAAAATACAATAAATGGATAGATGAGGGACTCCGTGTGCTGCGGATCGTAACATAGAGAGCAGTTCAACACAAAGTCTCCTCAGCAACTGCGCCCATGCGCCCACATGACCAACAAAAGTATTTGTATCAGTACCTGCACAATTAGTGCAGAAGTGTAAAATATGAGTACGTAAATCAACGCATACCGAGTAAGTATCTAGTCTAACTCCGAAGAAATAGTAACGAGGGGTCGACATTGACCAAATCAAGTACATTATACGTAGATAGGTATGAAACATGGCAAGTAAAACAGTGAAAGCAGATATATGTACATAATACGATCCTCCCCTAAAGGGCAAACACGAAGTTCTCAAATACCGATTATTTCCTCAAATGGAATACATAATGGTCAACACCAAATAAAATATCACATTTGAGTCAGGAAAACTAATAGGTACACTGACTCCTTATCAAATATTACGCATGATCCTGCCGAGGCGAACGACCCGTTCCCATAATAGTAATGGCATGATTTTTTGTTATGGCATACGACCCGATCTTATAATAATAATATACACTGTCGAAGTCGTACGGACGCTCCAAATGCATCTCATAATGTTGTCGAGGCGAACAGTTCGATCCCATGATGATACTGTTGAGGCATTTAGCTCGATCCCCTAGGAATAGTGAATACTGGACGGGTCACTGGCCCCACTCACAAATATATGTGTGAGTTATGCAATTTAAGAGACTTCAGGACACTTTCGTTCAACACGGAATAAATCCGCAAAAGAAAGTATAAGTTCAATGACTAACCAAGTAGCTCGTCAAATATTTAAGATAGCAAGGTTCGATATTCTATATAGGTCCAGTCTCAAGCTAAATATGATAAAGTAAACATGCAAGAATAACTCAAATAACACAATAGCATATCGTGAATCTAAGTCTACCCGGACCTAATAACGAATTCTAGCATACGCACGGACACTCGTCACCTCATACGTGCGTAGCTTCCACAACATGTAGAACATAACAAATATAATACCTACGGGGTAAATTCTCCCTAACAAGGTTACACAGGAGACTTACCTCACTCCGAAATCTGATAACTGGCTCCAACGCCTCTCTAGCACCTCAAACCATTAATGTTAAATGATCCGAAACTAGTCAAAGAATGTGCAAACCAATTAAAATGTACTCCAAGTCTCGTAATTTAACATATAAAAATAATTCCCAAGTCCACATGAAAAGTCAACAAAGTAAACCTCCAGACCCACATGCCCGGGTTTCGAAAATTCTCGAAGATAAATATTACCCATAGCACCACGAACTCATATATAAATATTATCGATTCCGAGGTTGTTTACTCAAAAGTCAAACCTTCGTCAACTTTTTCAATTTAAGGCTTCCGAATTAAGAATTGTTTTTTCAAATCAACTCCAGACTTCCGAAAATCAAAACGACTACACATGCAAGTCATAATACATGAAGTGAAGCTATTCAAGGTCTCAAACCGCCAAACGACATGCTAGAGCTCAAAATGACCGGTCGGGTTGTTACATTGCGAAGAATCCAACTTAGCAACTATTCCAGAAGCTGACTCGGAAAAGGAAAAGGAAAACTTTGGCTCACGACTTTTGTACGCAATTATAAGTTTAAAAACACATCTTTTGCTATTTGGTTTTAGATGACCTAAAAGATGTGTTTTTAACTTATATATTGTATACAAAAATCGTGGGCTAAAGTTTTCCTTTTACTTTTCCGAGTCAGCTCTTTAGGGATTGATGCTAAGCTGGATGCTTCGCGTCCGCCTCAACTTGGATTTCCCAGCATCGGATGCTTCACGTCCACCCTCTGTTCCTTCAACTTTGCTGCGCCCAGATGTGGATGCTAAGGTGGATACTTTCTCGAGACTTCACTGCTAAGGGTGCTTCACATGGCATTGCTTGCTAGGTTGGATGCAATGCATGCAACCTCTTCTCCTATAGCTGGAGCATCTTTTCTTCATATTTTTGCAATTTAAACGTCCTAAATTATCACAAACAACTTAATTAGTCGAAAAAATAATAATTAACATATGTTAGACATTTTCAACACCAAATAGCACCATAAAGCGGTTAAAATATGGTTAAAGTAACATTAAAACATAAAAAATATGCTCAACATCATCAGATCCTAGTGATCCCATATTTTACCTTCAATTTTGAAGGATCTCTACCATCTTTACACAAATAGTCTGTCAGATTAACTATTTAGTTTTTTTTCCGGTATATATAAATTATAAATATATTATATATGATTTAAGTCACTCGATGAACGGCTATTTAGATTTGGCATCTCTGATTTATTTCTTAGATTATTCTTCTGACATAAAAAGACCAAAGGAGATTGTCTATCTAGATAATGAATTTGAATTCTATTAAAAGCATTGAGGTTCACAAATGAGGCTTGGTTGATTAGATTGCATTATGAATTACTACTACTG